CCAAACAGACTAGGCCAGGGATGATCCGGCTTAGACCAGGCAGCACTGATGCTGACGATAAGTGAAGAGCACTCAGATTTCTGCTTCCTTTAGTGACTTTTTGGCAACTTTGTGGACTCTTGTCCACTCAGGCCTGGTGGCAGAGCCCTGACACAGAGGAAGAGAAGATGGGCAGACACCTAGGTGTCAATCACAAGTGAGATACACTAGCAGTAGTTGGGGAGCACAAAGTGGTTGTTAAGATACAGTTTTAAAAAAAGTTTTCATCAATCTTCATACATTATACCTTCGTTTCATTTTCATCCTTTGTAATAATTTTTTGTTTTTCTTTTGCTACTAAAATTGCCATGTAGAGAGTAAACAGCCATCTATAGACAATGATTGAAAAGAACTCTCTAGAGAGCGCTTGTTTTTCAAGCCATTATTCTTGCCTAGAACGGCTACTCTGTCCTTCTGCAAGTTCCATGTGATTCACAAGGCCCATTTACTCTTGCACGCCTACTAAATGCCAGATAATATTTTAGGCAATGGATTGACAATGGTGAACAAGACAGACAAGATTCCTGTCTTCATGAATCTTATATTGTGAGAAAAACATATACAAATAACTGAATTTTAGATAACAAGGGGAAAATGTTATCTGAGCTGGGGAAAGGATTATATTCATTACAGTAGTTAAGGAAAGCTACTCTGAGATCACATTTGAGAAGAGCACCGAATGAAGAGAGAGAGTTTGAAACATGAAGTCTAAGGAAAGAATGTTCCAGGTGAAAAGTACTTAAGGTAGGATCTGGACATGATTGAGACTCAAGCAAGATCCATTTTCATCTGCCCATTTTCCATGAGAGGTTCTGATTGCTCCATCTTGCAATGACCAAATCTTATAACAGCACTCGTCTCTGTGATTCATTGGCATTGAATATACATTACTTTATAACACTAGCTGTCTTTTACAAGTTGAGATGCTTGCTCGTCACTTAGTTCCTTCAGGTCAGGGACCATGTGTCTTGGTATATGCAAAAACAGAACAGTACTCTCATGTGACAAACATTCAGTGAACTGATGTCATTGATGTAAAGTCTCTGATAAGGGTCATCACAGAAGTCTGATGTCGTAATCTGTGCTGTTGTCATGCCTTTAATGAGCATATCAACCCTTGACTAAAGACTGTCGGACAGAGAGGGTGGTGAGGTTCTGGCTTTTTAAAAACATATCCAAAAATAAATAAATGTTGGTTTGGAACTTCTGTTTAGGATTTTTTTGTAATGATCTGATAATGTTGTAAATGTGT